AAACACAAAAATCGATATTTTGTTGTTATGCAAATCTGAGTATGTTACTAACTATTTTCATTAAGTGCGATGGTATTATAGCATAATTATTATATTGAGTTGGTGCAAGAGTAACGATGTTTTAACTGCAATCAGCAGGCAGCACACGTCCCGCAATAGATGTTTCAAAGGCTGAATGAATGAAGCTGCCAAGTTTTGCCTCTACCTCCAAGTTCGCTAGACCTCACGCCCATCAACTACTGCTTCGTTGAGAATTTCCATCACTTCTTCCACAAAAAGCTATTCCACAACCAACAGGATGCAAAAAGTTCTCAAAAGTTTGTCAAATTCCGAAACACCGATTGTTATGTTGAAATATAAAATTGTATTTGGGAGTGATTATAGCGTTTTCACAGATCCGCGACGTAAAACCGCCATTACTTTTGCACCAGACTAATGCAGTGACTGAGGTTCAGCAGTTCTGTCTTCTTCAGAGCTCGAAAAAAGCCTAATTGACTCTCGATCAATACGTACGACCACCTCATTCAACCACTTTCGAAAGAACACCTCCGTAGGCAGTGCATTTGTAAGCCATCGATGTATAAACAAGAAAATGCAGTCATAATGAATTTCTTGAGAACGCTTGCGGCATATTGCGTAAAGTATTCTATTCCTCACCGTAAAATTAGGCAGCAGATAATTCGTAGAAATCAACAAAGTTTATGTATTCAAGTGGAGAAAGTGAGGAAGGATACCCCTGGAAAGCAGTTGAGTGGGCCATGTCTCCGATTCATTGGTGAACGGCCACAACCACGTGGATGTGATCACATTAAATTATTTAGGAGGTTGGAATTGGTAAGGTGCAGGAGATTGCTTGAGGCAAATCAAAAATGCTTAGAACGTACAAAATCAGTGGGCATGTTCTGTGGCAAAAATTCCAACACCGATTAATGTTTATAGCAAATTGTACGTGGACATGTAAAAGAAACGAGTACCTGCAGAAGGATTTTAGTTTTTTTTTGTAATCCTATTTAGATCCCACTTGCGGAAGCACACTAAGACCTTGAACTTATTAGAATTATCTATGAATTGATATCGCAGACAGTATGTATCACCATTCTTGATCAACTGTTCATTGTTTTCCATATTCCAACTGCTGTGATAACTTTTGAATATTGCGTGCGATAGAAACAATCGAGATTCAACTATATGTCATAATATCGTTCACATATCTTATTAAAATTGACTGAATGCTATAGAGAGCAGTGCTAAATCCGCTCTCTTATTCACACAGATGAGCTTTTCCCATAAGCACATAAGCGTGTAGAGAAAGACATGATTTATCAGATAATACGAGAAACCAGAATTTTTTTCAAAAACGTAAATCAAAACCTGATCCAAATAATGATAATTGTGCGCCGCTTTGCAAGTACTACTCTGTGCAGCAATTTGTCGTCTTCGTTAGCCCGTTTACGGCCGGGTGTACCTATGCTGTTACATGAATATTCTGAGCATTTTTTCTCCGGATGAAACTTTCCCTTAACTTTTAATAATTATTCCAACGCTCAAATTTTGTCGATGACATTGACTTCTATAATTTTTATAAAAAGTTTCTTTTTACATTTTGAAAGAAAAGTATTACTATGTTTCACACTTGGTTTGCTTTGTTTCATCGGCTGGTCATGTGAATAATTTTACGGTAGGCACTTGACACTCATTCCATAGCTCAAATTTCAATATTTATGGAGTTAAAGTTGGTTTTTGAAAGGGTCTCCAAAGAACGACATAAGAACAAAAAAGAGAGAATATGTTTTATGTGAGTAGTTATTTCGTCACTACAACTTTGTAAGCAGTTCATTGATACTTATAAGTAAGGCTCTGTTAGAGACACTTTATCGCTACAAAAAGAATATCGGAAGGCAAACTTTCATAAAGGTTTTTTTTTGTCAAATAAGCAAGCGCTTGTCTTAAAAATCCCTATTTTTCAATGAGAAGTCCACATATTTGGAAGAACGTGCTCTCAACCCCCATTATACATTTCCATCGACTCTGGCGATAATGCAACTCGAGAACACATGTTCTGCAACATAGGATTTCCGAAGAAAACTTGCGGTGGTATCTTCACTATGCAGCTAGAAATAAAGTGTAGAAAGAGTTAGCATTCATCATTGTGGAGAGTAATTCGCTGGAAGAAAAATGTACATTTCTGGCTCATAGCTTACACAATGCTGATGAAGTAAGCATTACTCAGAATATCTCTCCAACAATCAACGATTTCTAGAATGGGCACCATAAAACAACAATTTGTCCTACAAATAGCACCAGTTGATAATTTGTCCTTCTGGTATAAGATCTAAACTTTTTGTATTTACCCCTTTGAGGATCACCAGTTGTAACCGCCACATGCAGTGCAAATCGCAGCAGGCAGGCATTCTTTGTTACTTGATCAAGGTTTCTCACCGTTCTGGAAATAAATTTATGGTTATTTATAATATTTCAATTCTTTGCAATTTTCTTTACGCAGTTGTAGCTTTTGATACGAATATAACGCATGTGCCTGGATGAAAAGCTCTATTTCACCACGCAGTCACAGTGATATTGGCATACTGTCAATTATAATACTTGTACAAAAAACATAATGATAAAAGCTATCAATTTTGATACATTTTATCATATGCAAAGTTATAATTGTGACTGAAAATCGGGGAACAATGAATAGTTTCATAGAAATCTAAGAAATTGAGATGTGAGCAAAAATGCGACCTCAGACGGGAGTAGAACCCACGTTTCATTCATACGGGAGACACGTGCTACTACTACACTATCGAGGTGCATTCGCACCACCACTCATTCTTCAGTATCTCTGTGATGGTTATCAGCCACCACCCCTTAACAGGAGTGGTCGAGTATGAGATTTCGCTATATAAACACAGTTGAGCTATGCCGCGTAGTCACGTGATGGCTGATAGCCATCACAGAGATATTGAAGAATGAGTGGTGGTGTGAATGTACTTCGGTGGTGTAGTGGTAGCACGCGCCAACGGTATGGGCGATACGCCGGTTCGACTCCCGTCTCAGGTCATAATTCTGCCCACCACTTAGTTCTCTTAGGTTTGGGTAAAATACCATAATATTGCAGGAAAGGCAGTAAAGCACCCAATTTCACGATTTGTGAAATAAGATGTTGCACAGTGCATGCAATTCCAGGTCATCGATAACTATTATCACACTAAGTTTGCTGGTTTCCCCCTATCCACACTCATATTCGAAAAAAACGTATTTTTCATCTTTGTTAAGCATTTTGATAGTAATCTGATAGTTTGATAGTAATCTGATAATCAGAGATCTCAGTAATTTGAATGGTGAATTGTATTTTACGCTAGGCAAAGCTTTTCCTTGGAAAGTTCGGTGATTATTCGATAGCGCGAATTTTGTTAAATTTACAAGTGTTTTCGAATTTCTAAAAAACTTGTTATTGCGCTGCAACACTGACATAAAGATTGCATTTCACGTAAAGCGCGCATCCCTCGCAGCGGTGTATGAATGAATTTTGCAACATTGGCAACAGGCCATCGCTTTTCTATAGCCACTCGGTAGCCTAAATTTCGAAAGTTAATGAAAACTTGCCTACTTTTCAATAGGAATTTCTCAGTGCGCTGAAGCAATACGATTAAGATTGTATTGTATTGCACATTTGAGTAGTTTTTGCTGAACACAGCTTTTTCCTCAGACTTTCAGCAGCCTCTCAATAGAACAGATCTCTATGATTTCAATATTACGCTTGATTTTTAAAAAAGACTTCTCATTGCGTTGTGCAGCCAAAAGGAATATTGGGTTTCGCACCCGGCGCGCATCACACGCCACATGTGAATTTCGCTGAGCCATCAACACGGCACTGAGTGGGAAACTCATTTCTTTTACTTGTAACAACGCACTAAGAAGATTTTTGAAAAACTATCTATGTTATCGAAATCGCCTGTATTGCGCTATGGAATGGGTATAGATATATGTAATTCTAACAAATAGCAACTGTAATTCAAATGGGAAATATTTGATAAATGATCAAAATTATGGCGAATCGAAAATTTGACGAATTATAGTGAAAAGTATCCGTGTGTCGAAAAAAACTGTCGTACCATTCAGAGGGTGAGTCGTTTTTAGCAGTAGCTGCTAGATCAAGGATAACTCACTTCTAATAAGTCTTGTCACTATCGTTTCATCTACATCTCATTTCCTTGTATATTTCTACTGGCATAAACTGCATCCGTATTTTTGTTAACCTCCAAGTAAAGGACGGAAACTCCTTGATTTTACCTTTATGTCTCTTATTGATCACTATTGCCGGAATACACCTATATCTCTAAATTGCTCCTTAATAAAAAACCAGCAGCTTGAAATACATCTTTGTTGCTTTTCTAACTTATTCACCACACAAGGCGTCTGGTTGCTCTGCAACCATTAATGAGAAATGTTCAATCACTATAGGACTTGAGAAGCTGTGAAAAGGCTTAAATTTTGTAGGGGATTGCTCTGTTGTATTATTAATATAAATGGTATTCACGCCGCTAGTACGTGTTACTGTGATCCATGGTAAAATAACATTGCCGTCAGCCTTTGAAAGATTCGTCAGCGTTTGTTAATTCGAGTTTGATAGGTTTCACACCAACACATTCTATACGATGACCATAGACTATTGTTATGATAATTCCAATATTTAGAATACTCACGCACTAGATACAATAACAAGAACTCACGGGAGCAGTTGAAATTCAAAAATGGTCGAAAAACCAATTGAAACTCTATGCTATAAACTCGTTAGTAAAGTTAATTTTAGTATATTTCCAAGTGTTTCTTAGTGCTCCTACCGCAAAACGCTGCTCATAACGTCTTGTTCCACAGGTTATCGATCGATAACAAGAAATGTAGGAAATTTGCTGAAATAAACTATCGAAAAATATGCTGACCACTTTAGTAACTCCAATATCACTTTTATAGAGATTATTGGGCGCATCAATGACAGTGGCAGGATGGTATAGGTGTATGATTCTTGCTTCGTGTGCGAGAGCTCCCGGGTTCAAATCCCGGTTCGACTCAAATTCTGTGCTTCCTGACCGTTTCCATACAAATGGTACCTCACCGCCAACCCCGGCCCCCAGGTTTCCAGCAGTCAGAAAGGCGAGTGGTAGTAAGGCGGCCGTAGGAAAAGAGGTTGCTGGTTTGATCTTCTCCCACTGCGCTCCATATGGGATTCTTGGAACTCCTTCCTGTGCTGCACTTAAGGCTCTGCGGACAGCAGCGATATCGGCTGGCAGGCGGCAAGGACGACTACGATTAGCGCAGCGGACAGCGCTTCATTATGGTGTGGTAGTTTTCAAGGAGAATTTACAAGTTCATCACCACTGAGGACGACTAAATCGTTGTAGGCTATCATGAAAATGTGTTAGAAAGAGCTTCAAGAAGACCGAGTTTGATTGGAATGTGCAAAAACAATATGATAAACTGTGCTGGTCAAATATGGGGATCACACTGCGCACGATGTTTCTTAATAGATGTTAGTCGGCAAAATTTTGGTCATTGGTGAACTTCAGGAGTTTGGGCCTTTATAGAAATGTAGAAAAAATTCTTCCTTGTTGTTTCATGGGTACTAGCTTTTGTGTGTCGACTTAAACATTACTAAGAACATTATCCATCGTTGCAACCTTTGTAAATGGCCTTGCACACTATCCCAAAAGGTAATTGTTAAAAAAACTTTCTTCTATTTTTACTGCTTTCTTGCAGTTCAATGATTTCCTTGACACGCCTGAGAGAATGGAGTGGTGGCAAAAATTCGTTCTCAGATGATAGTTGACCCACATTTCACTCATACTATGATCGCGGTGAGCGCATGTGGTGCAGTGGTTAGAGGTGCCCTGCGTCGCATACGAGGTCATTGGTTCGATCTCTCGCTCATGGGCTCACCAAGCCATCCATCCCTCCGGGTCGGTAATTGGTACCAGGACAGGTCTCAGACTTGTCTGGGAGGATAAGCAGCACTGGACTCGGTTCAGGCGGGAGGCCACCGCGAGTCATTGTAAAGGCCAGATGTGCATTCAATCACCTCAAACGAAGTTAAAAATTGAAGGTCGAATGCATGGCGCATCCCTCAGGGATTGATTAACGCCGAGAGCTTTATCCTCTTATCCTTTATGATCGCGTGCTATCACTGCACCACAGCGCTACGAGTCTTTCTTCAATAGATCCTTATCATAGCCATCACCCATCACCTTTGACAGATTGATCCAGTGAGTACATATCGCTTTGACACCCACTTGGTTCCTTGACAATGAAGTTGTGATCTTCCTTGGCACGAGAAGCGTTCGCGCGCCGAGCGTGGAAGGATACAGTGAAGGTGTGGTGGCTCTCTGATGAAAGTTAAGTTTTTTGTCACTAAAGAAAATTTATCGCCAGTAAGTGATGAAATGTCATAGAAAAGACTTTGACAAAGCTATTTGTAGAAGGAACAATGGCGGTGCTTCCTTCTGAAAACCTTGGTCCTGAGAGACAAGCCAGATACTTGCAAAAAAGTAGTAAATCGAACTTTTATTTGGAATTTTTATTTTATCTCACTCATATCCACTTACACTTTAATCATACTTATCTTTCATTTATTACGACAACAATTCACCTTTATACCAGCCACAAATGAATAAATAGCCGAATCAACAACCACATTACCACTTTGTGCATCTGAAGATCAAATGCTACAACATGTTTCCATATACTCTCATTTCAAATAAAACACAAAAGCATCGTAGAGATTAAAACTTGCAAAACAAGATTAGGTTGGCAAAAATGATGTTCGTCAGTTCATAGGATGCCACTTCGTCGATGATTCTCAATAGTTTCTCGTCAATCGTCTCCTCCAGAAGTGGTACGTTCATAGAAGTGTAAGAAGAGACATCGTGCCATGGTTGTATAGGTGGACACATTTTATTAAAACCTATACTGGCTATGAAGACTAATCAATGTTAAAGTTCTGCTACTGGCCATGCTCATGGGTTTTCGGGCTTTCCGTATTTCTTCTCAACGGAATCGCCTCATACCATTTCTTGCAGCTCCTCTAGTCTTCAACTTTTCCAAATGACTTTACTGTGTCCCCTTGCAGACAGCTTTCGAGAACCTACAAAGCATCACATACCCTCTACAGCGCTCTGCAAAGCATTTTAAAACATCAATTTGAGAACTGCCGAAATTTTAGTCATGGAATGAATACTAAAAGCCTAACGAAGAACCATCCATAAATTCCAACTGAGCAAACGAACTAAACTGATGTGACGATTTTAATTTTGTCGCTACAACGCAATAGGAAGGGCGGCACATGTCGATTAGACGGCGACAAGTTTATGAAATGGTCTCATTCGCTGTACAGAAAATTTTAATAGGAGTAGTAGTAATCATTCAAAAGCTTGAATCTTCCCCTAGCGTCCTGAATAGTCGTTTCCCAATACACCCTTTCATGGCGCCGTAAAATTCAAAATAAAATTATGTTTCACACGGCCATGTGTCTTCTTTTCATATCTCGCCTGCCGATACAACAGCTAAATCGGACTTTTTTTAATGACAAATGCCTAAAAAGCATCTAGTATCGGAATACACGACTTTTCGAGAACTGTAATGGGAGCTATAGGCTTCATATCCAAGCCTTCTTTGAGTATAAAATGTTATTGACAGTGTGGAAACAATTGCAATGCTTTCAGCACTCTTCGGCATGTTATGGATCCGTCTTTATAAGAAATACAATCTTACTAATGCCGAAATAGTGGGTAAAAGGGCAGTTTACCTACCATTTTCTGGTCACAGAAATCTTAGTGTTCGCTTTTTTTTAGCGAACTTTCGTCGCTACAAGGCAACAGAAAGGGCGGATCTAGATAAAAATGCAATAACGGTGCATTCTATTTTACAAAGTATAGTGCTTTGTAGAATCGATAATCCGCTACAGACAAGTTTCTTCCATGACTGTGCAGTGCTCCCATCATCCTCACTGCTAATTCAGTGGAGAAGTTAGAGGTGTTTCGACAAACCTGCATCGTCACGAATGATCGTGAAAATATTCCAGCGAACACTTTACGCGCTTCACACCTGATGTTCAAACAATTTCAGAAGAATGTTACGAGATAAATATGCGTTAAAGTGCAGAAGAAGAGGACTTTCGACTTTTTGTCAAGCTCTAAAGCTGAGTCTAGCATTCAACTGCATTAGGCACCTCAACTCCACTGCTTCATGAATTACGTAATTGTATTATTTTCGAAGGCAATGACCAGTAACTGGTGCAAGACGGCAGTTATTCGGCGGTTTGTTGAGGAAATTTATCCGTCTTTCACGCTGCTCATCTGGTACACATTTTTTACTTGAATATTAGGCGGTTCATCTTTACGAACTGTGAGAACTCCAGCACATTTCCATTCGTTCTTTCCTCTCGCTGTTGTGGTCATGATGGTAGTTTAATTCGGATATGGCGCCTGTCCCAAGCTTCTCCGTCAAGTTCCTCCTTCACGTTGTTTTCCATTTTCAATGAACGCACAAGGTGCACGTACGAAGTGATTACCGTGACGAGGAACCGTCCACTTTGAGCTGTTCATCATTTCACAATTGGTTCTTCGTGAACTAAGGCTCATGAGAGTGCATGTGGTGCAGTGGTTAGAGGTGCTCTGCGTCGCACCCAAGGTCGATGGTTCGATCTCGCGCTCATGGCTCACCAGGCCATCCATTCCTTCAGGGTAGATAAGTTGGTAACAGACGGGTCTTAGACTTGCTGAGAGGATAAGCAGCGCTGACTCGTTACAGCAGGAGGCCACCGCGAGTCATTGTAGAGACCAGATATGCATTCAATAACCTCAAACGAAGATAAAAATTGAAGACGAGTGCATAGAGCATCTCTTAGGGATAGATCAATGTCGAGAGCTCTGTGTTTTCAGCTTTGAGGCTTCATGCGGTTGTAAGTAGCCCGATCTCCTTTCCTTTTTGCTTGAGTTACCGGAGCATCGCTTTTGCTTCACTGGTAGCAGCAGCCAAAGTGTATCAAAAATGTGACGAAATTTCACCCTATTCGTACAAACTACGGACTATCCCTGACCTAGAAGACGGTTGATCGGTGCCGATGGTGGTATTTCTAGTAAGGAATGATGATGTTGGCAAATTGTACGACTGAGGCTTTCTGTGGATTTGAAAGTCGCGAATAATACTGGATATCAGAAAGCACCTACAAGCCACTGAGCATGTATGCCGGCAGGTGATCGCACAAAGAATTGTCAGCGATGATCACTGACATGAATTGATGCACTGTCGTCGACACGACTGGAGATATGACGAAGAGAAGAGCGAACAGTTACAATAATTGCAACATACGTTTCATGTTCAGTTATGAAGCGCGATCCCTCGATATGGGTAAAACGCGAGCTCAACTTCCGTCTGATGCCGAGTGTTTTGCATACTTTTCAATACTCTTCAATAAATATTTATGACATCAAACCACTGCTGAAAAACAATAAAAAACAATAATTTTACCTAGAATATAGATTTGGAGTTTTTGCCAGCACTGGTGGATCTATTGTCGATGTGCCGTTGTTCGACCAAACCTGTTAACTCTTGTGTACGCCAGCATAGTCAATATCGCAAACAGCGCGCTTTTATCGTTAATTGATGAGAATTACCCTTTTTTGAAAAAACTCCAAATTTTTGTAAAATTCTAATAAAGTATAGGTTTTCCTGTTAGTGTTTTTGGCATTTTGACGTCGCTGTTGTTCCCAAGTTCTACACGGGATCAGACCATCGCCTCCTTCGCGCAACGTTCCGATTTTCGAGGAGAGGAGAGAAAGCCGCTAAATACAAACAACGAAGTCCCAGAACTATTATAAACTGGGATGAATTCAAATCATTAGTCGGCTCTTGGGAAGATACCGTTGTCGACAACATCGACGTAGAATACGATCGACTCGTTGAATATCTTCACGTTAGCGCTAAAAAAGCCGAGAGTCCTAAGGTCACGAAGAGACGCTTGTCTCCGCAAACACTCGAGCTGATACGTTAACGCGGAATCGCACGAGCTGCAGGCAACC